GTTTCGAAATGTCCGGTTTCGAAATGTCCGGGTTTCGAAATGTCCGGGTTTCGAGATGTCCGGTTTCGAAATGTCCCGGAGCCCTTTTTGCACTATACACACAATTTTGAAATCGAAAAGTGGAGCTCTGTTGAGTCGAAGTTTGTTGACGCTCGAAGATAGTTTTCTGTGGGAAAAAATAAAAAGGAAGGTGTCTGAAGAAATCGTATTGCTCTCCCTCTCCCTGGTGAGTCATGAATATCAACCATGTGAAATGTGCTCTTTCTCTGAAATTGGAAATGCACATGGGACACTGTAATAGAATACATAAACACGGTTCAGGAAGTTTGAACTCTTCCTTCACAAATTCTGTCTTTTTTTTTGAGTTTGTCTGCCTGTTAGCAGGTTCAAGAGGTCATGGAACCCAGGAAATGCGTGTGTGTTCATTATTCAAACTTGGTTCTGAAATTTTGTGAAATCGGTTCTGAAAAAGCACAGTCTAAAAAAATTCGTGCAGAGTTAGTTCAAAATGTTGGGAAATGCACGTGGCAGCATCTTGATATTAAAGTGATTTTTTGTTTGTCGGAAGGGGACTCTGTCTGTCTGCCTGCCTGTCTGTTGGTTATCTCCATTGGTGGCTCTCACTCTCAATTACCAGCAGGCACTTTTTATTATCAGTCTTTCATTATCCCTGTCTGTCCGCCTGTCTATCTTTCCGGATGTCTGTCTGACTGGTGGGTTTGACCGTAAGTCTGTCTGTTCATTCGACTATCTGTTTGTCTCCTTCTGTCTTTAGATTTGTCTGTTAGTCTAATTCCCTGATTTTCTGCCGTGCTGTTCGTCTGTCAAGTTCTTCCTAATAAAATTGCTCGCAATTCTGATCAAAATATATTTTGGTAAAATCAAAATTCGGAGGCTTGGGATCATTGCGGTTAACCAAGTGCTTAGAATTAGCTTGGATTACTGTAGTCAACTCTGCAAGGTCGGTGATGACCAGTAGTGGCATTTGAGTAGAATTCGGAGTCACGAAGTCTGTCAAAATGGTGGCCGCGGCCAAAATCGGGTGTTTGGATTTTGTGATTCCGTTGCTCGGAAGTTACACCAGCCTAGCGGTAGAAGGACCAATATTCAGTATGTTTATAATACGACGGCCGACCTAGGCCTTCTACGGCCACAGACCGAGGCCGTTATTTTGACAGGCTTGATTGCGGTTACCCGGTAAAATACAAGCTTGGAATTATACTGGATTACTGTAGTCAAAGTCTGTAAGACTGGTGAAGATCTGTCTGGTGATATTTGAGCAGAATTTCGAGTCAGATGAAACTGTTTCAGTAGCTTTCACCTTGGAAATCTGGATTTTTTTGATATACAGAATTTCAAAAATTCGAAAATTCAAGAGTTTTTGGTAAAGAATCTGCCACTTTTCATTCCGAAAACCTGGAAACAAAAAATCCCAAACCCCAAAAAAAATTTCCCATTGATGGGGTGTTATTCGTTCCTCTCAAATCGTGTTCCTTCTGGGCTCCTTTGAATGTTGCTCAGAATTAGAAAAGAAAAGTGACTCATTAATAAAAAAAACTCATACAATTATACATGCGAACAAAAACAAACATGTTCTCCTATTATATACAAAAAAGATTCGGGAAATGTATGTATTTAACTAGCACCCTCCCCCCATCTCTCTTTTGGAAAGACAGAAAGAAAGCTACTAAATAAAAAAAAAAAAACAACACTCATGTATACACCCCTTCTTCTCCTCACAACGTCTTCTACTTGCTTCTTTTTCTTCTTTTTTGAAAAAGAGAGAGAGAGAAGAGACGCAGACAGCGAGAGTAAGAGAAGAGAAGAAGGAGCAAAAGAGCCCTCCTCCTTCTTCTTCTCCTTCTCCTCAACCTCGTCCCTTTCGCCCTCCTCCTCAGACCCACACACACACACACACACAGAATCGATGAGGCGTCCGACGACGACGTCTTCGTCGATGTCGTCGTTGTTCATGTCCTCCTCCAATGATTATTTCAACTATAATATCAAAAATCGAAAAATTATTTATCATTTTATCTATCTAGTGCTTTTCTTCTTCCTATTAGTCCCCTCTGAAGCGAGGACCACTGTCACAGAGGGTGGGCAGCCCTTGACGGAGCTCCTGAGCTCCCTGGATCAACCCTATCCTTGTGGACATGTGGTAGAGGCTGAGCATTTTCTATCCACCGCAGTTGCTTTGAAATTCCCACGGCTGATACAGTTGGCGCATTTTTTTGCAAATCATTCGAAGAATTTCGATCCGCAGCTGCTGGATAAGTCGTCGTTTCTACCGCATCCACCGTTTGAGGTGTCCTTTGCGAGGAGGACACACTTCTATGGGCTGGAGTTGAATTGTACAGGGAATAATCATCGGTGAGCTTTTTTGGGTTCGGAATTCTTGAAAATTCTGGAAAAAAAAATTCCGAATTCCCACGGATTATTACCATTATCCCTTCTGCGTTCTCACGCCGCGCCCGGGCGCTTTCTCCCCCCCCCCTTTTTCTCTATGACTTATCACCCTTCCCATGTTTGCGCACATGTGGCGCAGTGGTAAAGCGCTAGTCTAGTAATCTGAAGGGGTAGGGTTCGATTTTTTTAGGGTTGAAAATTTTTTTTCTTTTTTTCTAACCCCATTTTAGATAGTTTGAACATGTTTTCCATAGTTTTCGTTGACAGGGAAAAATGAGAAAAATGATTTGAGCCAATCAGTTTTCCTATGGAAAATGATTTTGGGCAATTAGACGGGTCGTTACAGTATCCCATGCACTCAATTTTCAAGAGTGCCCTTTCCCTAAAATTTCGACGACAAAACACCACTCACATAGCGAGATAAGGATTAGCAAATGGGGTGATTCAGGCTTAGACTTCCTTATCCGGACAAAAAATTTTTGAAATTTTTAGTTTTCAAGTATTTTCAGTTTTTAGTTATTAGTTTTCAGTTCATAGTTCAATTTTTTTTGAAAAATAATTTCGAAAAAAATTTTCAGATGGCTCCCACGCCTGGTATTCGTCTCACACGATCCGAACAACTTGAATCGAAAAGCCTACCTGACACTTCAACTCGATCAATTCGATGTCGATATGTGCTCCGCCGTGGATTGTCATACCAAGGTGAGCATTGAAAAAATGTTGGAAAAAAAAGTATGAAATCAATGTTTTTTCCCTCACAAGTGGTCATTAAGCGGAATGTCGCGCAACCCAAAAACATATACACGTCATGTTCACATTTCTATTTAGCTTATTATCAAAATTAGCCTTACGGGAAATGAAAAAAAAAGAAAAGAAAAAGAAAAAAAAGAAAAAAAATCGAGGGTGGACTCGAACCTGAGCCTTGTGGGTGGTAGCCCAAAACGCTACCACTGCGCCACACGCGCAATAGTTTACAAGGGTGGGAGGGAGTAGAAAAGAGGGAAGGGTGGTGGCGCCAAGTGGGCAGGAAGTCCGGGGATCACTCTGACTGTGCAACCTGCAACCATGGCTCAGTGGATTCCAGTGTTTCAAGTTCCAATTTCGGATCCCTGGTTCAATTCCTTCAGGGTCCCAACCCTTTTGTTTTTCCATTCTCTCCATGGCCTAATATTTTTTCTAGGCCATCCGAATTCCCCAAAGACACGTCAATTTTTTCGCCGTCTTCCGGTCGTTTTTCTGCTTTTTTTTCTTTTTGCTCGGTGCTTCCCTAACCCCACCAAACCCCCCTTGAGACCATCAGATTGACATTTTGACGAGCGAAAGACGCGTCTTTTTCGGAAGAAATCCCAAAAAAAAAAAAATTTTTGGAGGAGTTCTTTTTGGAACAATCAGATAGATCAGGTGACACGTGTACCCTCACAATTTGTTATCCAAAAAATCTTTGAATGAAAAGAAAAGTGAAGACAACTAATTTACACCAATCGAAAATATTACACTGAGCAAGTGGCAGTGGAGGTGCTCCAATCACAAAAATCCGAATGTTTTCGTTTTGTTTTTGTTGATATCTCCCATCAAGTGTGTGTGTCAAATGTGATTGGGGGCACGTGGAAAATGGGAAAAGGGGTAAATCTGAAAACTGAAAAATCTGAAGTAACCTGGAACTCAATTTTTTAGTTCAAACAGCATGAATAAAGCTGAAATATCTGTGAATCCCAATTTTCCGAAAAAATTCGGACGGTTTTTGGCACCAAGAACTCTGTTTTTTTCAATTTTTTTTTTTTTGAAAAAAAGTCGGAAACCCGGAAATCCATGTAAAATTTCGATCCCGAAAATCCACACTTTCTACCAAAAAATTATTTTGAAGATCCATTCCAGGCTCCTCCCAAAACCAGATTTTTGCAAATTCCCGAAATCCATTTCTTCGAATTCCCTCCGAAACTGAACTTGATTGTCCTGATTTTACCGGTCAATTTGAGTCAAAAATCATTATTCTAGCTTGATTTTGAGCCGAGTTATCGCCCTCTGAAGGTGTGAATAGAGAGAAGACAGCGCAGACAGCTAGATCGTCTAGCTGTCTGCGCTCTCACCGGTGAGATAGCAGACAGTCCGACGCTCTCGTTGTCTGCTCTCTCCCTCTTTTCCTTTACCGGTACGTGAAAATGATGGGGAGAGAGAGAGAGCGCAGACGGCTAGAATGTCTAGCTGTCTGCGCGCCCTCTCTATCTCTCTCTCTCTCTCTCTCTCTCTCTCTCTCTCTCTTTCTCTCTCTCTTTCTCTCATTCTTTAGTTGAGCTCATATCCTCATATGAATCCAAGAGCTAGAGGAAGAGAGCGCAGACAGCTAGACACTCTAGCCGTCTGCGCTCTCTTCGAACGATTTTTGCCCCAGTTTGCCCCATTAGCTACAGTAATACCACCACCAATATATATCCATCATTCATAAAAAAGTCCAAAGAAAAAATCTCTTTTTGCGCGGCGCGGCGCACGGGATGACGTGTCCTCCTCATCATCATCATTCCCCACCCTTTTCTCTTCTTCTTCGTGGCGCCTGAGCCTAAAAACGGATAATGTGATGTCTGCTTCTCTGCGTCTCTCTCTCTCTCTCTCTCTCTCTCTCTTTTCCTTTCTAAGCCTAAGCCCAAAGAAGAAAGGGGAATGCGATTTTACGACGACGACGACGACGACGGAGATTTTCTTCTTCCTCTTCTCTACTCTTCTAGCCACCCCTCCCCCCATCATTTTTGCCCCCCTTCTCCAGCGAGCTCAAAAAAAGTGGGCGGAGCTTGGATTGCGCGCGCACACGCTTCAATGGTCCCCAGAAGGTCCCCCCATGGAGAAAGAAGAAGGCTCTCCCCGAAAAAAAAAGAGGAGGAGAGGGTGGAAAAGATTGGAAGAAGAGGAGGAGAAAAAAGGAATGAATTGAGATATATATGAATGGATGTATATGACTTTTTGTTGAAAAAAATGGGGATAGAAGGGGTTCAGGTGGAGCGAATTTTCTTCGTTTTTTTTTTGGGAAAGAAAAGGGAATGGATAATAAATAATTACTATCATGAGATTGGGTAATGGAGAACCTACAGTATCTAGGCCAGTTTCGGTCCAATCGACAAGAAAATGGTAGCTTTGAAATTAGCACGACGAGAGAGTTCTGATGATTATAATCATAATTGGGTTTGGGGGCCCAATCACTCAAAAATTACCATATCTCGATCAATTTTTCCGAAACTCATAAAACTTTTAGTTTTGGAATCAGTTTCCCAAGACGGTTCAGGAAAGTATAATCGTGGTGCTACCCCGCATCAGAACTGACCGCATTAGAACTTTCCGGATCAGAACCGGGCCATATTCAAGCTCCCAGTTGCAACACGGGGCTGAATTTTTGCACAGAATATGACAACGTGGTCCTATGCATTCCTTTAAGTTATCGATTTATCAGATGCATCGCAAGTACCTAGTTCTAATCCGGCCAGTTCTAATGCGGGGTAGCACCATAATCACGGCTAGTTTCTCAGACATGTTTTACTTTTGGGTCTCCATCTGGAAAATTTGAAAACTACTCGAAGTCCGTCAACTTTTATCCGAAATCGCTGAAATTCAGAATGTTGGAAGTTAAGACATTTTGGAAAAACTAGGTTCTGAAACATTTTTGACTTTTGGGTCCCATCCGGAAAATCTAACTATCACCGTGAATCAGTCAGCTCTATCCTTCTACTTATTAACCCTGAGTTTTTGGAAACAGCGTGTCCAGACGGTTTTCATGAGTATAAGCATGAACAATTTCTGAATTTTATCTTGTATTTGGGTCCCATCACGAAAACTTCAAAAACTACCGTGTTCCGGCCAAAACTAACGAAAACTTATTTTCTGAAACCAGCTCATCAAGACGGTTTAGAAAAGTGTAATCAAGATCAAGTTCTGAGAGTGTTTGAATGTCAGGTCTCAGTTGGAAAGTTTGAAAAGTACCGTACCTTTTGGAGCAAATTAAAGCGAAGTTCAAAATCGGCTGTTAGAAATGATTAACATGAGAACGATGTAAGGGTAGCCCCTTCACAAAAATCTAAAGAAATAACGTAGCATGGTCAACTTGAGTACCGTCATACTTGTCCGAATGGGGCACGGCCCAGTAAGGCCCGGAGGCCCGGTGCTGAAAAAACTGTCCTTTTTTCGAACGTTTTTTTTTCAAAATTTCAGTTTTTTCAATCCATGTTTAGGAAAATGATTCAAAAGTCCAGTGTTTCATTTTTTCTCTGGTTTCTGCAAAACTTTTCTGAAATGTCGTCTGATGAGATTCAAAAAGTTCACCATTTCAAATCTGACTCATCCCCAGCAATTAACACTTATACTGCAGTTTTTTCTTTCACGACTTATTAACCTAATCCTCTTTTTTTTTCAGTGCACATGGACAGTCCACGGTGGTCTTCGAGTATCAGCAAAAGCGTGTTGCCATCAGGACGACGTAGTTTTATGTAGGACAGATGCCGAGAGAGGTTTGTTTATAAGTACGTTTTTGGATACCCAACTAATTTATTCACTTGGTTTTTCTCTTCTTCTTGTAGTGTTTTTCTAATTCTTAATTTTGCTTCATTTGGTTTTTGAAAAATTAACATTGCTGAGCATGTTGTGGAAAAAGAGAACTTGAAAAATACCGTATCTCGGTCAGTTTTAGTCGGATTTTTATGGAATTATTACGGTTGAAATCAGCATGTCAATGCGGTTCGAAAGAGTATAAACATGAATAGGTTTTTGAAAAATTCAAATTTGGGTACTGGGTCCTATCACGAAAACACGAAACCTACCGTAATTCAGTCAGTTTTAGGTAAATTTCGATGAAAGTTAGTGTTTTGAATTTGTTACGTTAAGACGGTTCAGAAAAGTATAATCATGGTCAAGTTCTGAATAATTTCGATTTTTGGAAACTTGGGTCCCACCACGAAATTCTAATAACTACCGTATCTCGGGTAATTTTTATCCAAAAATCATGAAACCTAATTATTTGAAATCAGCGAATGAAGACGGATCGAATGAGTATAATCATGAATTTGTTTGATTTTTTTCGGATTTTTGTATTTGGGTCTCACCACGAAAACCCAAAAACTGCAATATCTCGGTCAATTTTGATCCGAACTTCAAGAAACCTAGTTTTTCGGAATCAGCAAGTCAAGACGGTCCAGATGAGTATAATCATGGCTAGGTTTTGATAGAAGTTCAATTTTTTGCATTTGGGTTCCCACCACGAAATCAAAGAACCTACCGTATCTCGACCAATTTTCGTCCGAACTACATGAAACCTAGATATTTGTACTCAGAAAATCAAAAAGGTTCGAATGAGTACAATCATGATGAAGCTTTCAAAAATTTTCAAATTTTGTATTGGGGGGTTCGAAAATCTAATAACTACTGTATCTCGGCCAGTTTTCGTCCAAACTTCATGAAACCTAGTTTTTTGGAATCAACAAGTCAAGACGGTTCAGATGAGTATAATTATGACTAGGTTTCAAAAAAAATTTCCCTGTTTTTTTTTCAAAGCTGATATTTTTTGGTTCGGTTACTGTAGACTTTTTTTTCAATATCTCTGAAAATAAAAAATTGTTCAAAAACTGAAATTCCAGGCCGTCACATGCTTCTCGCATTCAATTCGATATGCGCCATCATCTGTATCGCATTGATTCCAATCGTCTGTTATCAGAGGAAACGGCAGCATGAGGTAAGTGTTTGCGTACTCGGCGTCAGATTTGACGACAACTGTTTTTTTCCTGTGAACTACATTACTCCTTATAAGTCGGTGTGTTTGCGTACTCGGCTTCACATCTTACGACACTATTCAGTTTTTCTCAAAAACTACAGTAATCCCATTCGTTTCAGGCCCGTGGATGGGCTCTCATGGAGCTGTTTCTAATCGGTGCTTCGATTCTCTATTCGGTCCTCTTCCTGGACTTTGTGGCGCCACCGGAGTACGGTTGCTGCG